AGTAGTCACATGAGGGGGCCCATGTCTGCGGTTATTAACTGCTTGTTGCAATTTCAGTGGGACACAGTCTCTGCCACCGCACGGCACCATGCCTCAAGGGGACATCCCCAGGGAGACTTTCATTGTCGGGTGAACACTGGGCCCAAACACCGACTTTTCGGATTTAGTTAAAGAGTTTGAGGATACCATCAAGCGCCAACAATCTGTGCTACCCTCCTCACCTTCGTGCGGCTCGGGGCTGGAGCAGGAGGTCGACAGTCTGACCTACAGGAAATACATCCACAACCTCGAATCTTGCCCTGAGGAACGCCAATGTTAAGAGATGATGCTATGCGTAACTGTCGGAAACACCCGGCCCAATCAACGCGTAATTCGCCGGCCCAACGGGCCAGCGGCGTGCTAAGATCTCTGGTAACTGGTTAACAATATTTCTACTTCGCGCGCGCGGGGCTGCCCCTTGGGGTCCCCCGACGAACAGTACCCCGGGACGGTCCCAGGACGTTCGGGCCAGAGATGGTTTTCCGTCTGGGCGCCGCCCTCGAGGCGCTCCAGAGAGCCCCAAGAAGGGCCCAGAGGCCTTCCAGAGGCCCCCAAAACAATAGACGACAGGTCCGCGATGCCACAAGATCGCTCCAAGACGTCCAAGATGGCGCCTAGACGCCCCGAGAGGCCTCCAAGAACCCTCCCAAGAGAGCCTCCAGGGGCAACAATTGCTGATGTTCCGTTAGTTTTTTCATGATTTTGGCTTCTCCGCCTTATCGGCTTACCGGCGCTTCAAAACGGCCCAAGAGGACTCCAAGTGGCAAAAAAATCCTCCCAACACGGCCCAAGAGGACTCTAAGAGGGCCCCCAAACGGCTCCAGCGGGCTCCAAGATAGCCCCAGAGGCCTCCAGGATGGCCCCAGAGGCCCCCAAGATATCCCCAAGAGCAGGCCCATACGGGGAACCCGAACAGAGATTTCGAGCTCTCGGCCCCGAGAGGTCCCGAGGATGCCCCAAGACGCTCCCAAGAAGCTCCCAAGAGGCCCCAAGAGACCCCCAAGAGGCCGCCAAGAGGCCCCAAAGAGGCCCCAGAGGGGCCCAAGGAGGTCCCGGAAATATCGCCAAGAGGCCCACGACAGGCGTCCAAAGACATTCACAAGCCTCCCAAAGAGGCGCGCCCGGACGCCCCAAGTGGCCTTCAATAGCCCTCCCAAGAGAGCCCCAAGAGGCCCGATTCATTGCTTTTCCATTCGTTTTGGCCAGAGTTTGGATTTCCCCCCACTCCGGCTTTCCGACGCTCCAAGACAATCCGAGGCGCCCCCAAGACCGCCCCATGAGGCCGCCAGCGGGGGCCGGCGGAATGAGCGAAGCGATGAAATAAACGGACGTGGTTCTACAGCCTGCCGACTGTGTCTGCGCTGCGGTGGATTTCCCGCGACGCCCCTGCAGAAAGGGTGGACTTGCGGGAAGAGCACATACTTACAAACTGTCGCTGCATCCGCGATTCCTACCCCCCCGAAGACTATCGCTCAGCACGAGTCTGGATCATGCTTGTGGCTTCGAGGCAGTTTGCCAGCGTCGTGGGTTCGAATTTCCCGACCACAGCCAATGGCTCTGCAACGGCTCAAACGAACCCCTAAATCCTAGGACTATAGGACAGGGGACCCGTGCCTGCCCGCTTCTGGTTTTCGGGAGCGCGAGCGGGAATCCCGACTCCAAAGGGGCCCAGTATAAGGAGGGTTGGTTTAGGCGTTGCGGTTCTCCAGAACTTCGAGCCTGGTAGGGTTTCTGTCAGCCGCAAAGGTCCCCGCACTTGGGGGGGGTCAGACGGCCCCGAAGGGAGAGCTCTTGGCCCTCACTTTGGCAATGGAATTCTCGACGGGGTCAATGGTCCACGTGATCGATACGGCATCATTCATGATACGGTAACACTTCCGAAATTATAACACATTGCCTGGAGAGAACTGTGATCTCTGGGCCCGTCTCGGTAAGCTGCAGCAAGGCAGGGCCTGTTCGCTCATCGCTGTGCTGCAGACGCCATCTCATCCTTCGCCCGAACACTTTCTGCGTGTTCGCCCTCGGTGGTAAATGATGTGCAACTTCGTTGTCGACGACTTGGCCGCTCAGGCCACGCTCGAGGCGAGAGTGGATGAGGTGTCTAGATTTCGCTTGCACGAGGCATAAAAAATGACTTGGCTTCTGCGGATGATGCTATTTCGCGCGAAGAGGAGGCCACCCAGGCCGAAGCTTCCAGGAAGCCCGCTGGCAGAAAGGACCGCTCTGCCCCCCCTGCTGCTGCCCCTGTTGTTCCTTTCTCCTTGGCTCACATTCTTGCCGCCGATGGAAAATGCCAGAGGTGTCGCGGGAGCGCGTCTCAAACTCAACGTACCAACTGGTTGAATAGCCCGTATGTGGAATGAGCTCCTCAGGATGCCGTTTCCGCGAAATTGCCGAAGGGCCCAGGTATTCAATATGGTGGGAGGACACATTGCACCTAACACCCGGTGCTTTGCCACAGCGGTCCGAAGCTTTGGTGTTGCAATTTCTGTGGGCTTTTCGGCAGTCAGCAAATGACGTCTCTCACACATGTCTGTACGCCACCCACGCCCACAGGAGTTAGTCACCCCAACAAAATATGTGAAGGCACATGGACCAAAAACAAATAACATGAAATAGCCTGGCGAAGGACCCACATATGCAGTTGTGAATACCGCAATTGTGAATACCATTTTCGCCCGCGCTCCCTATGTGGCCACGGCTTCCCGCCGGAGCCCGACATGCTGAGGAACACGTTCGTGGCCGTCTTCGCGGGCGCCGACGACGACAAGGACGGCGTCCCTCTGACCGAGGAGCAGAAGCAGGAGAGGGCTTGGGGAGCCATGAGGGAGGAGGTGGCGTTGCACGTCGACAAGGCGGAGTACGACGCCCAAGCGCGGTTGTTGAAGCAACACAACTATGGGGCCACGGTCCTCGTGATGGGGTGTGCCGCAATGGTCCGAGACCGCCATGCGAACCCTGCCATTGGCGCCGTCGGTGGAGTTCCTGTGAGGCCACGATCCTCGTGAGGGGTATGCCGAAATTGCCCGAGGCCGCCATGCGAACACTGCCGCTGGGGCCTTCGGTGGGGCTCCCTATGGTGACACGGAACTGTCCTGGGTGGGGGGGACGCATGCGAAAACCCCAACGGGGGCCTTCCGTGGAACCCCCCTTATGTGGCCACGAAACGCTGTCCTGGGTGGGGGGGGGGACGCATGCGAACACCCACGCGGGGGCCTTCGGTGGAGCCCCCCTTATGTGGCCACGAAGCGCTGTCCTGGATGGGGGGGGGGCGCATGCGAACACTCCCACGTGGGTTTTCGGTGGAGCTCCCTATGGGGCCACGAAGCGTTGACCTGGGGTGGGGGGACGCATGCGAACACCCCCACGGGGGCCTTCGGTGGAGCTCCCTATGGGGCCTCGCAGCGTTGACCTGGGTAGTGGGGGGGCGCATGCGAACACCCCCACGGGGGCCTTCGGTGGAGCTTCCTATGGGGCCACGAAGCGCTGTCCTGGGTGGGGAGGACGCATGCAAACACCCCCACGGGGGCCTTCGGTGGAGCTCCCTATGGGGCCACGAAGCGCTGTCCTGGGTGGGGGGGGGACGCATGCGAACACCCACGCGGGGGCCTTCGGTGGAGCTCCTTATGTGGCTACGAAGCGCTGTCCTAGGCGGGGGGGGCGCATGCGAACACCCCCACGGGGGCCTTCGGTGAAGCTATCTATGGGGCCACGAAGCGCTGTCCTGGGTGGGGGGGGGACGCATGCGAACACCCCCACGGGGGCCTTCGGTGGAACTCCCCCCGGGGCCACGAAAGGTTGACCTGGGTGGTGGGGACGCATGCGAACACCTCCACGGGGGCCTTCGGTGGAGCCCCCCTTATGTGGCCACGAAGCGCTGTCCTGGATGGGGGGGGGGCATGCGAACACCCCCACAGCGGGCCTTCGGTGGAGCTTCCTATGGGGCCAAGAAACACTGTCATGGGTGGGGGGGACGCATGCGAACACCCCTACGTGGGCCTTCGGTGGAGCTCCCTATGGGGCCACGAAGCGCTGTCCTGGGTGGGGGGGGGACGCATGCGAACACCTTCACGGGGGCCTTTCGGTGGAGCTCTCTATGGGGAGACGAAGCGCTGGTGATGGGAGGGGAGGAGGGGAGGACGAGGAGAGAAGGAGGGGGAGGTGGGACGCGGGGCGCTGTCCACCACAGGATGGTTGGGAACAATGGCCGAGCCGAAATCTCGCGCCTGCTGTTTAGGTTACGTAACGTCGCTTCGCAAGCGGTCCTATCCGATCTATCTACCTATCTATCTATCCTCCTCTCTCTTCCTCCCAAATGCTCCCTTTAGGGTTTCCACAACGGTTGGGGGAAGATTTAACCCGATAGCTTGGCAAGACTTTGGAACTGCGCTATTTTTCCACAACATGCCCCTCTAAACTCCGGACACCAATTCCAATCACATGTGCTTCTTCCACGGTCATGTTCTGAAAGCTCCAAGACTCGGAAAGGGCTCCCAGCGGCTGACCACCGCGAAAAACCTGCGGCGAATCTGCCCAGTCGCATGCAAGAGCGCAGGGCCATTCCCCGTCAAGAGCCGACCCCCAGGACCTCTGCAGTGGTGCGATCTGATCAAAACTCCTTCGCGACTCCAGCCTCGACGACGAGAAGCCCCCCCCACCAAAATTGCCAGAATCGACCAGAGACTACGATCCTCCAATGTTGTGCAACGCGGGGCTTAGAACAGAAGAAACGCTACAATCGGCGGCGAGCGAGGGGGGGGGAATGAGAAGGAGAAGGCCTTCTCAGAAGGCGGCGAGATTTCTCAGAACCCCTCGTGCCTTCCGAACAAAGTGTGCTTGTCTGCGGGGAAGGCTCAGAAAACTTCTCGGAAGGCCGGGGAACTTCCGAGCCTTCTGAGAAGGCCTTCTCTTTCTCACTCCCGCCCCCTCGCTCGCCGCCGGTACAAGGTTCGCCAGCCGTCCCCGTCGATCACCGCGAACAGCTTGGCCGCGCCCATCAGCGGCAGGCCCAGAGCCCTCATGCGCCACTGCACCTCTCGGGGAGCGCGGCGAGCGGCGAGGGAGGTCAGCGAGGCGGAGCGGAGCGTCGCGCGCAGACTTCGAGGCCGAGCTCTGTATAGTACTGGCCCGACCACAAGAGACCTTCAAGAAACCCAACCCTGCGACCCCAGGACGTCCACTGATTTTTGGTGTGGGAACGTCACGCTGTCCATGGCAGAACCATCGAAACCCAAGAAACCCAGGGCACCCTGGAGGCAGCCCGTGTGTTTCTTGGCATGGGCTTCCACTGCTCGTGTCGTGACGAACTGCGCATTGGTTTCTCACGCCGCATGGATCGTCGATGCCGAATCTTCTCTGGGCTACTGGCGGCGTTCCACCTGGAACTCTGGCGCCGGGGTCGCACCCGCGTCGACACGAGCCTGCCGTAGCAAAGGGGAAGCGGAGCGGAGCGCGCGGGTCTCGAGGCTGGGGTTTGTACACAGCGACCGCCCTGGGAGCCGATGCCCCACGATCCCAATGCAGCAATGGCTATGGATATCCCGGAGCCCCTGGGGGCCCGAATGTATCCACATCAACCACCTCGCGATGTCCAGGACGATCGGTTCCCCAGGCGGTGGATGTGTGCCAATCCCAGCCTCGGGCAAGGGGGCGGGGTCTGAAGGCTGGCGCGGGCGGGGGCGAGCTCCTATTTGCCGTGGTCGGACTGAGCGGCCGATGGTGCAGTGCAGTGTTGGACTCAGAGCGTGTGTAGGCCAACGGCTGTTCCAGGGAAACCCTCCAAGAAGACGCAGGCGGCGTAATGAGGTTCGACACAAGCTGTGTACTCTCGGTGAGCTCAGCGTTGTAAGCACTCTTCGGGCTACCACACGTACTGAGGACTATCGATGTGTGTGTGTGTGGCGCAAGGGTGCTGGTGGGCGGTTGAGGCGATCGGCATCGCATCAATCTGCAGGCCGTCGTGAGCTCGACCAGCAGCGCTTACCCGCAGAGCTGAGACAACTTACCAGGCACCAAGTGCGGGATGAGGAGGAGGAGGAAGAAGGCAAACCACCTGGGTGGCTTGTTGCTCCGTCTTCCTCTTCCTATCCCCTATCCCTATTGCCAAGATTGACAAGGCCAATGTGGTGACAATCGTAAGGACGTGCCTTCAGAAGCTGGGGGTTCCTTAATGTCGGCACCGAGACAGAGCGACGCCAATCATATTGATATAGGGATGGGGGGATGTTTCTCATGCAGGTAGTACTCGACCTTCAGTACGCAAGATGCGTACACACAATGAAACTAATCGGCGGCGCACGACAAAGAAAAGTGTGATGGCCTCAGGGATTCAAGTGCAAGCTGACCTAGCGGAACGCTTGGGGAGAGGGAGGGAGATAACTCGGCAATCCAGCCGTCTTTTGTTTTTTAGCGTTCTATGTCTGGGGGGGGGGGGTATTTCTGGTCGTAGGCCCATGGCAAACACATTACTCAGGATGACAAGCTGGCCCCCAAGGAAAGGTCGAGAAATCAAGGGGGCTGGACGGTGACTCGGAAACATCGGATCGTCGAATGCCTGGTGTCACGAGCGGCGAACAGACATATCTGTATCCGCGCCCTGGCGGTCTGGGTTCCAGCGCGCGATCCCGCGGATCGTTTGGTCGGTTCCCGACGTATCCGCTCAGCTGCGCCAGCAGTAAGAGCGCAGAATGATCCATCGCACTTAGTGGGATAACCGTTTTCTCTCACTCGTCAGCGGTTCCATCCGAAGAGTTGCCAATCGCGCACTCTTCCGCCCACGCTTCCTGCGGGATGCGTGGCTCAATTGGTGGTGGATCCCGCGGATGCGCGGTCGCACGGATACGTTCCGCGCGATGCATCCGCCAGAAAACGCCCCGTAGCCGCGGTGTCGCGGCGCAGAGGCCCAGCCCGCGAAGCCACGCGTGCGTGTTCCGACCCACCATGGAGGAGCAGCAGGTTCACTGCCTATGGGGGGAAGGAATCAGGAGGATGACAACTATGGAATGGAGGGGGAGGAGGAGGAGGAGGAGGATGAAGGAGGACCAGTGTAAACCCAGCATCAACGATGTTGCAATAAACCCTCCCTCAAAACTCCCTCTCAGAGGGCCCTAGAAGCGTTTAATTCCGTTCATGCAATTTGCCCATTCGAAGACAACAACCTGAACATCCTCAAACATGCCTAAACAATGTTCCGGTGACGTCCACACCACGGATCCACGTGACTGTTGCGTTTGACAATTCTAAGCCGTGCCAAACAACCATTCCTTGGCATTCAACACCGCAAATCAACATTATTGTAACGTCCTGGCAATCCCAAATCGTGCCAGAGGAAGAGATCCGTTCCTGGCTTCCTTCGGCCTCCGTGAAACCTTCAAGGCGCCTAGCCACTGCGTTTCGTGAGGAGAGTGCCTCGCGGTGGAGCTTGAGCCAGCTGCATGCAGCACACGCTGTCGTGACCTCCCTCCCCCATCCCCCACCCCCTTTCCTTGCCCTCGCGTCTGTCGCCATTTTGGCTTAGGCGCCTGTCATCCAGAATCCCCCGTCGCCTCGCGTCGGTGCCGCTGCGGGATGGCTGCGCCTAGAGGGGCTCGCGCGCCGCCGTCTGTTGCCGCCGCCCTGATGGAGGCGGCTGTCTGTGGCGCCGTGCTGGAAGGCACCCCGCGGCGCACCGTCGCCGCGGCGGCTCGGTCCGCTGTTGTGGCCGTCACTGCTCCAGCTACATGCCGAGGCGCTCGAGCTGCCGCCACGCGACGCTGCTGCTGGCGCTGCTCCTCCTGATCCACGCTGCTGGCGCTGCTGGTGCTGCTGGCGCCGCTGATCCCGCGGCTCGCGCCGCGTAGTGTCGGTGCCGCCGACAGCGCCGCGCTGCGAGGAAGGCGGCTGGGGCTGGTGCTCCTCCTGCCCCTGGCGCTGGCGAGGCGTCCAACATGAACGTCGACGACGACGTCGACGAGTGGGCCGACGGCCTGGTGAGGCGCGCGTCGCAGCGGGAGCTGGTGACTGTCGCTGCTGGCGGATCCCGCGGTGCCGAGCCCGCTGCGGTCGGGGAGCCCTCCTCGGCGCTCGTGAAGCGCGAGGTGCTGGAGCAGAGTCTGGCTGGGGCAGATGAGCCTGCGGAGGCCGCCCTGCTGCGGGGGCCCGCGGCGATTGACACCATGGACACCGAGGCGTGCCTCGCGGAGGTCACGGTGGGCCGCCAGACGCCGGCCCAGCGCTTTTGTCGCTGGCCTTCGCATCGACGACCTGCGGAAGCTCGTCGTCATCCAGCTGCTTGGGCCTCTCGGGCGTCGTTTGGTGAGCCACTGCGGTGCATCCGGCAGGAGCTCGACCACAAGAAACCTTCCACAAGAAACCCAACCCTGAGAGCCCAGGAAGTCCATTGATTGCTGGTGTGGCACGCTTTCAACAACAAAACCATCGAAGTCCAAGAAACCGGGGCACCCTGGAGGCAAGAAGGGTGCTTCTTGGCATGGGCTTCCACTGCGCCTCAAACGTCCCGAGGGTGGTCCCAGGTACTCCGGTCGGCAGCACGGCGCCATTGGGCGCGGTTGATGTGCAGGCCGTCGGGGCTCCACATTGTTGCCGTGTCTGCCGGTGACCCACCTGCAGACTGGAGACTCGCTCGCTCTCTCTTCCTTGCCCCCGCTCGGACGCCCTTTCCCCGTGCACTCGTTTGGCCACGCCGCGTGCCTCGCTCTCTAGGTGGTCCAGGATGCCCCAAAACGGTCCAGACGAGCAGAATGCGACCACGACCGCGCGACGTCGCCGGGCCGCGTCGGCAAAGCCCCAGGACCGGCGACCAAGCCGCGAGGCGGCGCCCGCACAGCCCACGCGCGGGCCAAAGTGGACGTGTGAAGGGCCACGGCGCCCCAACGCCTCCCTCCGAAGGCCCTCCTCGCTTGCGCGTGGAGCGAAGCCCGGGGAATGAGAAAAAGCTGCATTGACATTTCAACATTCCGAGATCCGATCGGCGCTGGAACCCCCACTCCTGCGCGCAGAGCGCGCCAGTGGGCTGGCGCCACAGGCCAGCGCGAGTCCTCCAGACGTGCACAGTTCCGAGCCTTCTTTGACTGTCCTCTCTGTGAATCACGCTCACTCCCGAGGGGCCTGTGGTTTCACCCTTTGCTCGCCGCTGTCGTTTTTACTTCTCAGGGCCCTTGGCCTTAGTGCTACGCCAGTTGTTCGAACCGCGCTCACAGCAAAAGCATCCCTGGCGCTGCGCGCCGATCCATATCACAGTGGCAGATTGGAACGAGGCCGTTCCGCTATCCCGGCGCTGCGCGCCGTACATACTGCAAGACGGCGTCTGCGTCACGTTTTCCTAAATCGAAGCCCAGCGGCTTCCTGATCAGCCTGGTCGCGCTGTTGCTCAGCGTCTTCGCCAGCTTCAGCGACGCTAGCATCATCCACGTCAGCGTCAGCGACGCCGACATTTACGCCTACCCTGCCAACTCCTACGACAGCGCCAGCGACGCCGTCATCTACGCCTCCAACGCCTACTTCCCGTACGTCAGCGTCAGCGACGCCGACATCAACGCCTACTTCTCTAACGGCAGCGTCAACGGCGCTGTCATCAACGACTACTTCGCCTACTTCTCCCAGGCCAGCGTCAGCGACGCACGCTTCAACGCCTACTTCTCCCAGGCCAGCGTCAGCAACGCAAGCTTCAACTCCTACTTCTCCCAGGCCAGCGTCAGCGACGCCAGCGTCAACGCCTACTTCCCTGCGCCAGCGTCAGCGACGCCAGCGTCAACGCCTACCTCTCCTACGCCAGCGCCAGCGACGCCAGCATCAGCGCCTGCTTCTCCAACGCCAGCGTCAGCGACGCCAACGTCAACAACTAGTTCTCTTTCGACGCCCGTGTCGGCGACGCGGCTCATCATTTCATGTGCGACAAAATGACGGATAACTATGCGTGCAGCGTCATCCCTACATGGAATGACGATCCTGCAAAGTGGAGAGATTACAAACAGGAGGTCAAGCTCGGGAAGCTCAGTCAGAACCTCGCCGCGGGCCACAGCCTCGCGCCGAAGCACGTGCTGAAGCGAAGTGGGGCTGCGCGCGGCGCAGCGTTGAATATGGCGGAGGCGCAGCTGCACCCGGCAGCCGCGGCGGACATCGAAGACCCCGACGACAAGAAGCGCAATAGGAACCAGGTCTGCATCGAGAATGTGCTACGACACCTTGAGGCTAGTTTGGGCCAGCAGAAGCCCGTGCAGAAGGGCGAGGCCCCCGAGAAGTTCTTCGAGTCGACTCAACATCGCCGACGACGAGGCGAACGCATGACGGACTGGCCCATCCGGTTCGAGACTGGACTGCAGCAGCTACGCGAGAACGGGGTGGACCTCAACGCGCTGGGCGACGTGGCGGGATGGTTCCTGCTGCGCAAGGCTGGGCTCACGGCAGAGCGCCGCGAGCGCGTCGTGGGCAGACTCCCCGACGAGCGCTACGGCTGCCAGCGCATCCGCGGGCTGCTGGTCAGGATGTCCCCGGACATCCACGCGTCGGAGCGCCGCCCCCCCCCGCCGAAGTCATGGGCCAACCAGTCGCGCTCGCAAGGCGGCTGGCGCAGCAACGTTTCCCCCGGCCGCGGGGGGCGCTCTACCAGCGTCGTCGACGAGCCGGGCGACGAGAACGACGAAGAGCAAGGGGGGGACGACGAGGACGAGACCGACGTCCAGGACATCGTTCGCCGGGCTTTCAGCGCCGGGCCCGAGTCCTCCAACGTAGACATCTCCGAGCTGTTCGACGGCGGCGACTCTGCCAAGGTCGAAGCTGCCGCAACGAAACTTGCCGCTATGCCCGAGGCCATGGCCACCATTAGATCGGCCCCGGAAGCCCTCAAGGGCCGCGGCAAAGCGAGGTCCGCCCCGCCCCGCCGCCCGACCAAACTACAGGGCCGGGTCGACCGGCGCAAGAGGGGCACTTCTTGCTGGGACTGCGGCGAGACAGGACACTGGACAGGGGACGTGGAGCGTCCCGCGCCAAATGCTCGCAAGTTCGCGCCCAAGGACGGCAAGTCACAAGGCGGTGGGTGAGGAGGTCGCGGAGGCCGTCCTCGGCGGCAGGCGCGCATCACCGAGCAGGTCCAGTTCGCGGACGAGGAGATCGCCATGCACCCGCAGGGGCCAGTCACGCCGCCCCCAGAGGCTTGCGTCTCGGAGCGGCTCATCCACCACCTGCCGAACGTGAACGTCGCGATCGGCAGTGACAAGCCCGTGGGCGAACGCGTCGGCGTGGTCGACGCCGCCTGCCTTTCTGCGTCTCGGGCAAGAAGTGGTGCGACAACTACAAGGACATCATCGCGAGGATGGGACTTGCCAGCCAAGGACGAAGTCTACAGGCTTGACAGCGAGGTACTCTCCCAAGCAAGCTGCGCGTCACCGCGCCGCTTGTGTTGTGCGGCCAGGCTGGCCGCGTCGTGTTCAGCGTCGTGGACAGCCCCGCGCCGGGTCTGCTCATCGGCCGCGACTTCCACCCAGAAGCTCACAACGAGCGTCGCGGGCCACCCCGCAATCAAGTTGCAGCCAGAAGACTGGCAGGCTATCAAGGACGCCAGCATGGAGCAACCGCCCAGCGCAGCCAGCTCGTCCGGAAGGAAGCGACAGATGGACAATACCCTATACGTAGAGGTCGAGAAGATGCTCGACCGACGAGGTCGGAAGACGAAGACGGGCGACCAGCCCGCGGTCAACGACACTACCAGGACCTGCGCGCTGATCGACAACAACCTCGTCACGAAGAAGGAGCTGAACGTTCCGAGACGTCTCCAGACTCGACGACCGAAGGGGTCGCGGCTGCTTTCGGCCGTGGCCTCAGCCCTGGTCTGCTGCTCTACCGCAGCTCCAGCTCCGAACCTCGCGCTGGCGACGCTGCCGCAATCGACCTATCCCACGGCGTGCGTGACCGAGCCCCTGCAGGACTGCATCGCCTGTGGCGAGACGACCTTCGAGGCCTGCAGCCACCAAGGGTTATGCTCGGACTGCGTCTTCGGCGCGCCCGTGACCCTGAGCCACGGCCAGGGCGCCAGCGCCAATGGCTGCCTCGAACCCGAGGCCAACATCGTGGAGGAGGAGCAGCTGCGCGTGAGGACGCTCAGGAAGGGGGCGAAGCCGCAGCTGATCGCTGGCCAGCGCTCAGTGTTCGTCACCAGCAAGAGCGACATCCAGCCGCACAAGATCGGCCAGGCCTTGATTACTAACCTGGCCAAGTCGACAACCAGATCCAGCCCGACCTCCGTAGCGAACAGCACCGTGCTCTACGAGTGGTGCTGCAAGCCGGACAGCAAGCTCAGCGCCGTCTGGAAGAAGAAGGGAGGAGCTGCTGTCAGGTGCGGTCTTCCAGGCTTCGACCTCTCCATGCAGTTCGTGGTCACTGGTCCAGAAGCTGGGGGGCAGGATCCGGAAGCACCGTGCCGCAGGCAAGAGAGTGCGAGTTCACGCTGCGTTTCCTTGCCAGCCTTGGACATCGCTACAAGGACTCGTCGTCCAGATCGACCCGAGCTAGATCCCCAAGTTGAACCAGGATCGGGCCAAGTCCAAGCAGATGATCGGCCTGTTCCTGCAGCCCCTGTCACGGCTGCACGACAAGTTCGGCGCCCAGCACGCCGTCTCGTTCGAGTAGCCGAAGTGCTGCGACGGATGGGACCCCAACAAGAACGCCATTTCCAAGCAGCTGATGGAGCAGCTCCCGCGCGTCGTGGACTTCGACGGCTGCGCGTTCAACCTCAAGACAAAAAACGGGATCCACATCAAGAAGCCGTGGCGGATCATCACCGACCATGTCGGGTTCGACGACTCGCTCAGGCGTTTCTGCAGCGGGGGGCACCCGCGCGCAGCGGCCCGCGGGAAGGACGCGAAGCGAAGCGAGAACTACATGACCAAGCTCGTGACGGTGCTAGCCGAGCAGCTGCGACGTCCGAACCGCCGACCTGTACGAGAAGCTCATCCTACATCGACGACGAGAAGGGAAGGAAGAAGGACGGTTCCAGCCACCGCAGCCGCTCAGGAGCCCGCGCTCACGGCCGCGGAGGAGCGAACACTACGGTCCGCCATC